ACCCATAGCGACCCTGTACAGGGTTTCCGATGCTGTAAATCTTCATGGGAGCAGAACGCCTCATCTTTCTCCCGCGGAGCAGCTGGTAGTTTCGAACTGCTGGCCTTAAGGTTTGCAGCCCGATTCGTAACCACTACGCTACCAGAGTTCTTTAAAATTAAAACATAATGCTCAGTGCAGATCTACTTTACTAACGAAGAGAAACTATGTTTTGGTTCCAAGACGACTTCAGGGGATAGTTTGAGTTTAAGGTTAAAAGTTTGAAGGTTTTCTCAGAATCTTTGGTCAAAACATTCAATAACGGTCACGGGACACCATCTAGTTCTTCTGGTCTCATGGAAAAAGGGGCAGCTGTTCATGCACTGGGTTTCTTCCTTGGATTCCTGACTCTCCTTCCGCTGTCGTTTCAGGTGAATAAACACCAATTGTTGTACCTGGGTCTGCTACCACTCTTGACCCCCAAGCTTACCCCCTGTTTTCCACACAGCAGTCCAAAGACTCTTCCAAAAGGAAAGTCAGGTTATACCAATACCCTGCTTGAAACCATACAGTGACGTTCCACTTTCTGTTGGTCAGTTTTTACTCATGATGTCTCCACATGTGTGTCAGAATAGAACGACTCCATAGGATTTTCAATGGCTGATTTTTTCACAAGTAAATCACCAGGACTTTCTTCCAAAGTGCCTCTGGGAAAACTTGAGCCACCAACTTTTCAGCCAGTAGCCAAATGCACCAACTGTTTACGCTACCCATCAGCTAGACCCAGTTCACTAGACGCTGTCCAGTTGATTCTGACTCATAGCACCTCCATGTGCATCAGAGGAGAAGATTTCAATGACTGGTATTTTCTGCAGTAGATTGCCAAGCTTTTCTTCCGGGTGTCTACAATCTTTCAGTTTGTAGGCAAATGCCTAATTGTTGTGCCACTTAGGGAAAAGCCAACTTCAGGCACTCCTGGGTTCTGACTCCCCATTAGTGGGGTGCAGGGGTGCAGACTATACTAGGTGGCACTGTCAGAAGGGGTGCACTCCCTTCCCTGGGCCACCATGTATTCTTCATTCCACAAATATTTACTGAGCACCCTCAGTGCCAAGGACTCGTCTAGCTGCTGCAGATACACCAGGAAACAAAACAGACAAAAGCCCCCGCTCACACAGAGCGCAGGTAGACCATAAAGAAAATTAATTATCAAAACGGAGCATGACTTAAATGGGGAGATAAGGAACAAGAGACAGGGAGAGTATGACTTAAAATAACATAGTCCCAGCTACCATTACTGACTGTTTTTGATCAAAGATTCCATAGAAAAATGTTGATCTAAAGGGGGCAAAATGCAGAATGGAATTTCAAATGCTCATGGAATCTGAACTTTCTGGAGCCATAGGGCTGGATGAACCCCCCAAAACTACTAACCTGAGATCATCTCTAAACTGTTAATCTGAACTTTCTGGATCCATGGGGGCTGGATGAACCCCCCCAAAACTACTAACCTGAGATCATCTTTAAAATGTTAACAAAAAAATCCCTTGTAGTCTCCTTTAACTCAAACAACAGTTTTGCATAACTGGTCAGAAGGTCTGTCTTTAGCATTATGGGAGTCCTGGCTCAGGGCTGTACAGTAAGCACTGGAATGCTAACCTCAAGGTCAGCGGTTCAAACCCACCAGCTGCTCTTTGGAAAGCCTATACAAGGTTGCTATAAGTTGGAACCAATTCAACAGCATTTAACAATAACATCCAGGATCAAACCGACAACAGCAATCTAAAGGGTTATACAGGAACCTTACAGGGCAGTGAGTTGATGTGATTAGGGGAGGGACAATCCAGAAAAGGAGCGGGGGGTGGGGGAGGACGGCTGCACAACTCAAAGAATGGAATCAGCGTCCCTGGAATCGCCCATGTAGAAACTCTTGAATTGGTGCATACTTATGCAGTGTGTGTTCTTAACAACAGCAGCAGCAAAATAAATTATGGGGGAGGGAAAGGGGATCAAGGAAGGCCTCACTGAGAACGTATTTGAGCAAACGCCGGAAGGAAGTGAAGGGGGCCATGTAGCAATTCAAGGAAGAGTGTTTAGGCAGAAGGAATAGCCAATACAAAGGTTCAGAGGTAGGAGTGGGTCTGGTATGCTCAAGGAATCCTAAGGAGGCTCAATGTGCCCATAGGAGGTAAGCCAGGGGGAAAGAGGTGGGAGATGTCATGAGACATGGTGGAAGCTTCAGATTCCCTGAAGATTTCTGTTCCAATGTCTCTTCCTCAAAAAGGCTTCCTTCTGTTATTCTATATTACAACAACATCTTTCATCTACTAGAGTTTGGAACAATCGTAACTGCTTAATGGTTTGTTTATTGCCTGTCTCCCTAGACAGGCTGTCCAATATCCACACCACCCTTCTTCCTGCGTAAGAAAACCTCAAATCTTTTCTGGCACCTATTGCCAGACCTGGTGGTGCAAATGATGAACACGAACTGCTGCTACCTGAAAGTCTGGAGGTTCAGGTCCACCCAGAGGCACCTCAGAAGGAAGACTTGTCAATCTGCTTCCAAAAAACCAGCCATGAAAAGTTCTATGGAGCACAGTTCTACTCTGACACACAAAGGGTTACCATGAGTTTGAATCAATTTGAGGGCAAGTGGTACTAAAAGACTTAAGTTTATCAGCCTTCCTTGCAGCTAGGTGTGGTCAGGTGATGAGGGCCCGTCCAGGTGCATGCATGGAAGTGTTTTCGTTGTATGCTATTTCTAGAAAACACCACTAGAGGGAACCCAAGAAGCAGTAAGATGCCCTCTTTTGCCTTTTTGCCTTTCTACCCTTTCTTGTCTCTGCTACCAGGAATGTTGATGCAATAGCTAGTGCTCCAGCAGCCACTTTGGACTATAAGGTGGTCTCCTGGATGGAAGCAAAGAGAGAATGGTGGGGCTAACGAGGAGAAGGATCCTAAGTCTTCACAACATGCATAGAACATCCTATTCTAGACATCTTCCTCATGAGAGAGATGTAAGCATTTATCTTGTCCAAGCAACTACTAGGGTCCTGGTGTGGCGCTGCAGGATAATGCGCTGGGCTGCAAGATCAGTTTGAGCCACAAGGTCGATGGTTCAAACCCACCAGTCGCTCTTCAGAAGCCTTATACAGGGTCCCTATGAGTCAGGACCCACTTGACGGCACTAAACAATGACAACAACAAAGCAACTATTATTTGGGAGTTCCTATTACATATAACCCATGGAATCCTGGTGTGGCGCTGTGGGTTAATGTGCCGGACTGCATGGTCAGTTTGAGCTGCAAGGTCAGTGGTTTAAACCCACCAGCCTCTCCTTGGAAACCCTATTCAGGGTCGCTGTGAGTCCGAACTGACTCGATGGCATGTCACAACATTACATACAACCCGGTTCTGCTCCACTTATCAACCAAAATGTAAATTCTCTAAGGGACGTGACCGTGTTTGACGGGCTCCCTCTTACACTCCTCATGCCCAGAGCCCAGCAGTAGGTCCAACACATACATAGTACATGCTCAGTAAACAGCTCAGTAAACATCTGTACTACCCCGAGATCAGAGGAACTAGATGGTGCTCTCTTACTGCTACTCAGCAAGACCGCAATGGGTGGGTCCTAGAGAATGGGAGAGAAATATGGAACAGAACTCGAATTTTTAAAAAGTCTAGACTGACTTACTGGGCTAATTGAGACTAGACGACTTCCCAAGATGGCCCTTGGATGCTCTTCAAACCTTGAACCAACCAAAACTATCCCCTGATGTAATTTCTTTAGCTAAATAACAGATTGGTACTGCACTCCTTTAAATAATCACCTATATGAGATTAAATAGTCAACAATGACTTTAAAGCAAAGATGAGAAGCTAAAGAGGCAGGGAAACTATTTGAATGGAAATGGAACAACCATTATGGATATCAAGAGAATGCTCACACACTGTGAAGAATGTAATCAATGCCACTGAACAACTTAGGTAGAAATGGTTGAATGGGAATCGAATGTGCTATGAAAACCTGCATGGAGAACACAAAATTATTGTTTTAAATAAATAATTGTAGAATGAAGGACTGACTGGTGTTATCATAAGACATCCCAGCAAGATGGAGGAAGACTCTGAGGGCAAAAACCAATATCCCTGTGAGGTAGCCTCAAGAACCCCCATTTTGACTAAATTTCCCCATTCTGTTATTCTATGAGTGTGAGTCTCAGCCTATTCAACTCCCCTCGATTTTTCTAATTTTATTATTATTATTACTTAATCTTCTCCTTCGTCCTACACCTCACGGTAACAGGGGAGGGGCCAAATACCCTGTCTGGCTTTTGGTCCTGTCCCTATAGCTGGTAAAGACTTGCATTCAGGGGCTTATGAATTCTCTTTGAAGATGAGAGGACTGTAAGACAGAAAAGAATTTGTCACTCAAGTGAGTGGACACCTGAACAGAAGGTGTGCTCTGGCTCCTGAGGTCTTTCACTTTGGCTGGCCAACCAGATAGCCAGGGTCACCTCCCTTTGGGCCACTGGACTCCACTTGGAAACATCAAGTCTTTTTTTTTCCCCCAGCAAGTTGTTCCTAAGCCACGGTAGGGACTGCTTGGAAGCAATGTGAGCAACGACTTATTTGTGTAAAACCTGTGAGAGTGTGCACTACAGATTAGTAAGTACGTACAAGTAAGCCCCTGTTTATCTTGCTTCCTGGGTACCCCTTCACTGTCGGGGTTTGTAAATTTGAAAAGAGGCTTTGATTGAGTCTGTGGGAAGGTGGTGTGGGGTTGGGAGAGTGACAGACGCCAGCCAGACTGAGAAGCAAAACCTTCAATGTGATGACCACATGTGCACTAGCTCACTATAGATTAGTAAGGAAGCCTGGGCTTACTTGGTACTCTGACACCATGTTGTATCAGGAAGCAGAGCCCCCCAAGAAATAGAAGCAGCCTATGGAGGGAAAAGAATGAGGAGTGGAAAGGGAAGGGAAATATCTATGTGAGACCCTTTGCCAACCGCTTGATGACACTGTTCTTGAGCCCTGGTGGCTCTCGGCTGTAAACGGAAAGGTTAACAGTTCGAATCCACCCAGAGATGCCTACAGAAGAAAAAGTTGGCAATCTGCTTCTGTAAAGATGGCAGCCAAAGAAAACCCTATGGAGTGGTTCTACTACGTCCACAGGGTCACTGTGAGTCAGAATCCACACGGCAGCACTTACCACAGTAGTGCTTAGGAGGCGGGCTGCTAACCTCAAAGTCAGTAGTTGGAAACTACCAGAGGTTCCAGGGGAGAAACATGAGGCTTTCTGGGACCGTAAAGATTTACAGCCTCAGAAACCCCATATAGGGTCGCTATGAGTCAGAACAGACTCGATGGCACTTAACAACACCGTCACTACCACCAACAAACAATTCTAATGACGATGACAGATGCCATCGCAGATCAGAGAGAAGGGCCCTACGTGAGCCAGGGAGTAGAAGATGAACAAGGCTTTGGAGGAGAGAGATCTGAGAGATCAGAAAGTCCTACGATCCCATGACAAATGTAAGGAGAGGGGTACAAAGAGTTAGTGAGAAAGGACTCAGGACTGCTGAGGGCTGGAAAGGGAAACTACATCCAGGCTGGGGGAAGAGAGCAGAGGGAAGGCTGATGCTGAAAAGGGAAAGACCAACTGAAGGGTACACAGGAAGTGGGGGCTGGGGTGCTCAGACAGGTGATGGGGGTCACGGTGACATGAGGGGTCACGGTGACAGGAGGGATCACAGTGACGGGAAGGGTCACGGTGACAGGGGAGGGGTCATGGTGACAGGAGAGGTCATATGATGGAAGGGGTCACAGTGACAGGGAGGGATTAGGGTGGCAGGAAGGGTCAGAGCGACAAGGACTGGGTTAGGGTGACAGGGGAGTGGTTGGTGGTTGAAAGGGTGTAGAGGGATAGCGGAAGGGTCACATTAGCCGACTAACAGAAGAGGCTTCCAAGTCCAAGAGGAGTCAAAAGTGGGCTAGCATGACATCGGAGGAGACAGACGGGCAGACATGATGTGGGTCTGACAGCGAAGACAGGCACTGCCCAAGGAGCAGATTGATTTAAGACCTGACAGACCAGTCAACAAACCAAGATCAGCAGCTCCCGCCCAGAGAGGGAAGCCAATCAGCGTGCGCCAGAGGTCAGTGACGTCACCGGCTGCCGGGCAGACTCCTGAGCAGTGGGTCGCCAGTAGCCTCATGGGTCTGAAGCCTGAAAGTCAAGGTGTACAGCCCGCCTTGGGAGCCAGGGTGGGGGTGGGGGTGGGGAGGCACGGGCTGGGGAATGGAGAGAGAGTCGAAGGGAGACGGATAGAGGCACAGAGGGACAAAAACAGAGATGGAAAAAGAGAGACAGACAGAGACAGATAAGGGGAAAGAGACAGGGGGATAGAGAGCTGGGGAGAGAGGGGGTATACAAAGATGGGAGAATACAAAGAAAGGAGACAGGAGTGGAGAGACAGAGAGACTGAGGTAGGGAGAGAGCGAGCAGTACTCAGCTACTAAATGAAAGGTGGGTGGTTCGAACCCACCCAGCGACTCCTCGGGATTAAAGACCTGGTCATCAGCTTCAATAAAGATGGAAGCCTAGTGAACCCTCTGTTGGCGCTGGTGGTGGTGGGTGGGTGGGGGGCGGGGCAGCTCTAGTCTGTCACGTGGCGTTGCCATGATTCAGAATCACATAGACAGCACCCAATAAGAGCAACAATCCAGGAAAGGTTTGGAAAACAGAAACGGATCCAGGGTCCAAATTGGCATGTGCACCCCGCCAAGCTCCCTCCGTCCCACACCCCTTGGTCCCCAAGCCAGGCCTCCTACCTCAGTGGCAAAGAAACCCTTGGGCCTGTGTTTGCCCAGGGACGCCAGGCCCCCGGGCCCAGGACTCTCGCTGGCACTGATGGTTTGCTGTGCAGCTGCCAAGATCTCGTCCAATTTGTCTGGGGGAGGTCGGAGGGGGTGGGGAGGAAAGACATTGAAATGAGTTGGCTTTGGCTAGGCATGGAGGCAGAGCGGCTGGTAACCCACAAAGCAACCCTCCTGGTATGAACCAGACAAAGGCACCCTTTCGTCAATCTCTGTGGATGAACGCCCCGGGGGCCCTGCCTGGAGACACTAGCTCCCTGCCCAGTAGGCAGGACAAAAGGAATGTCCCTGCTTGGGGCCTGAGAAGAGGACAAAGGAGGGTGAATAGGGATGCTGGGGGAGGAGTGAGAATAAACTGTGATGAGGGGGAAGAGGCTGAAGGGTAGAGGAGGCTCAGAGGGGATGGAGTCAGCATGGATTATGAAGGTGGTCAGCACGGAGATGGTCGAGGATAGGCAGCAGAGAAGAGGGGTGAGGGATGGAGTGGCGCATGGGGTCCCACCGGGAGCCTGAGCAGCCCGGGGAGTAGGGCCGGGGCCGTCTTACTGAGAGCCATCTGATACACGGTCCGTTTTTTCTCCATGCTGGGCATCGGCGCAGGTTGGTGCTCGTATTCTGTGGGCAAAGGACGCGGATGAAGCCCAGGGGCGCCCCCTGGTGGCAGGACAGAGCAAGTTCGGCCAGTGGGCGTGGCCAGCGGGTGTGGCCAGCGGGCGAGTGCAAGCGCGCGAGGGGCCGGGGTCGGGGAGGGGCGGGGTCCGGATCCGGGGCCCTCCCTCCAGTACTGTGCCCACTCACCGCTCTTCTTCTTCCATGGGGAGACTAGCCCGGGGGAGAGGCAGTAGAGGAGCCAAGAGTTAGGACGTCAGGGGAGAGCGAGGGGCCCATTCTCTGGAACTCCCGCCTCCCGCAGGACCCCGGGATGGGAGCCGTCAGCAGCCCAACCCTCCTCCTGTCATGGGGGCAGGGACCTCACAAGGTCCACTCGGCTCTCTGTTGGAGGGAGGGACTCGCCTTCCTCTCAGTTGGTTGGAAGTGGGGCTGGAGGGAGTGGGTAGGCCTGGCTGAGGGAGAGATGGAGAATGGGGGTGGGGGGTGAGGTGGGACAGATGCTGATGGCCCAGAAGGAAAGGAATAGATAGAGCGATCCGCAGAGAGGGACATACACAGACCCCGAAAAAACAGAGATACAAGTGGACAGAGGAAAATCGACTATCATACACTTCTCCCTCGAGACACACACACACACACACACACACACACACACACACACACACACTCCTGAGAGAGGAGTGGGAAACAGGATGGGCACTGAGACAAGGACCCCTGATCACTAACGAACTGGGGAGACCACTGCCCAGCCCCCACCACCCCCCCTCCTTCTTCCACAACCTTTTGTCCCAGCCAAGCTCACCCATCTCCTCCAGCTCTGAGGTCATGGATTTGGAACGCAGGGAGATGGCCGGGGGTGGGAGCCGCTTTGCCTGTTGGGGTGCTGAAAGCGTTGGATGAGGGACAGCCATCAGCACTCTGGGGGAGCAGCCACCATGACCCCTCCCTCCCTCGGTGCCCTAAGGATGCTGAGCCCACCCAACCTGCTTCCACTCAGAAGGGTCAGGCACAAAGTAACCTTGTGAGGGGAGGGGTGGTTGAAAGTGGGGGCTCCTTAGGACTGGGTCTTAGACTCCTGGTGTCAGGGTTCCCAAGGGACTGGCCATGCCACTAGGTGGAGGAAGGGCACCTTTCTTGTGGACGGCCTCATCCATGTCCGGGTGCCTAGTGACCATCACCACCTTGACCATCAGAGTGTTGCCCCCCTGGCGGATCATGTTCACCACCTGCCGGTGGCCAACCTTCACCACGTTCTGTCCGTTCACCTGTGGTACCAGAGAAAGAACCAGTTGCTCGTGAGTCTGCTCCAACTCCTGACCACCTCGTGTATGTTGGAGCAGAACTGTGCTCCAGAATATTTTCAAAGTTGGCATCTTTCGGATGTAGATCACCACGCCTTTCTTCCGAGGTACCTGAGGATGGTTTCAAACTGCCAGCCTTTTTTTCCGTGAGGAGCCCAAAGCGTAACCATGTGCATCACCTAGAGATTTCCAAACCTGTGATACAGATATCCCCAAACCACACCAGACAGATAAGAAAAGGGGTGATTTCCATCCCAGCATCCCAAACAACGTGGCCTCCCACCCTGCTATTTTCACACTCTTTTACCACCTCCCCACCTCCACACCTCCACTCACCCCATGCAGGGACCCCACCTTCCTAGAACCCTACTGGCCAGTCTACGTTGGAGAAGCAGTTTGCTTCTCCAACCTAGTTGTAGAGTTCCTTGTGTCTGTTCCCTGTACTGTGTGTTGGGGGGGGACAGCTCTAGGTAACTCTTGTGAGATGCTCCAAAAGGTATTTAAATGGAATCACTGAAGAAGGCAGAGGTGAGCTGGGAGGTGGAACCTTGGGAAGCCTGGTACCAAAGGAGAACTTAGGGGTAGATCCATTTGCCTGACCCTAGGTAACTCTTGTGAGATGCTCCAAAAAGGTATTTAAATGGAATCATTGAAGAAGGCAGAGGTGAGCTGGGAGGTGGAACCTTGGGAAGCCTGGTACCAAAGGAGAACTTAGGGGTAGATCCATTTGCCTGACCCTAGGTAACTCTTGTGAGATGCTCCAAAAAGGTATTTAAATAGAATCAATGAAGAAGGCAGAGGTGAGCTGGGAGGTGGAACCTTGGGAAGCCTGGTACCAAAGGAGAACTTAGGGGTAGATCCATTTGCCTGACCCTGGCTCAGCTTATTAAGGGCCCGGGGATTGGTCTTCTGGGTCTCAGGAGACAGGGGTGTCAGAAGCTCCCAAGGAAGCCAGGTAGGCCTGTGGAAGGTGAGCTAGCGGCTGGGGCTTGGAGAGCCCCTCTGGGGGGTATTGCGTGCTATTGAGCAGATTTTGACTCAGAGGGGTCCCAGGTAAGAGTGAAAGCGCCTCATAGGATTTTCTAGGCTGCCATCTTTAGTTTGGAATCGCTATGGAAGCAGATGGCTAGGTCTCCTTCGGAGAAGCTGGGTGGGTTCGAACTGCGGACTTCTCCGTTACCAGGTAAGCACTTATCCATCGGGCCTACAGGGATCCTAATAGGTGCTGTGGCGTTCTGACTCACAGCGATGCCATGTGCCACAGTAAAACTGCCCCACAAGGTTTCCTACGTAAAATCCGTTCCGCGAGCACACTGCGGATCTTTTCAGAAGCAGAGCGACAGGCCTTTCTTGCAAGGCGCTTGTGGGTGGGTTTGAATCGCCAACCTTCCTGTTGGCACGCAGCCTAGCGCTCAACGGTTGCGCCACCGGCCCCCCCCCCCCCCCCCCCCCCCCCCCGACTCACCTCGATGAGGAAGTCTCCCATTCGTAATCCTGCTCTCCAGGCTACACCGCCCTCGTCCACCGATTCCAGATACTGCAGCGCCGGGAAGGCCGGGGTGGGGGTGAACTCTTCGATGGGGGTCTGCGCTGCAGATGGGGAGGAGCCGGCGGGGTCGGAGGGGAGGGGGTGGAGAGGCCGAGCAGGGGATGGGGCTCAGACCCAAGTCACAAGAGGCCTCACCATAGCTGCGGGACCAGCACTCCGGGGGCGGGGCGGTGGGAAGGCTGAGATCCATCCCAGGTCCCTGTACCACACCCCCACTCCCTGGGATCTGCTTTCCTTCTCCAGCCCCTCCCCGGCCGGCACTCACCCTTGGCCCCCCGGAGCACGAACCCAAACCCCTCGCTGTCCTTTTTCTGCAACAGGACTGTCTTCTCCTTGATGATGTAATCGCTGGTGGGGGAGGGGAAGGGGGAAGAGGAAGAGCCAGGGTGTTGGGGGAGGAGAAGGGATCATGAGACTCCCAGCTTGTGCCTCCTCCTCGCCCCCACCTTGCAACCAGATGACCCAGGCGAAGCCTCCATCCCTGCCCTGCTTGTGGGCTCCTTGCCACCTACTCCCTGTGCTGACAGCAACCCTGACAGGCCAACCCCTCAGAGCTCAATGTGTACTCTCCCCCACTCATCTTCTCATTCATCCCTTGGCGCATCCAGCCTCCCATCCATTCAGCAAGCAGCTACCCAGCCCACCGTGCACCCGGCACCATGCTGCATGCGGGTGTGCGGGCGAGGGGCCTCCAGGTCCAAGTCCCCAGGGCAGTCTGGCTCAAGTCCCCCATAACCACTTCCTGTCTGTAACTTTGAACCCATGACTTTCTCCAGTTGTACCTCAGTTTCCTCATCCAGAAGAAAATGATCAAACCAGTTGCCAAATCACAGAGCCCTCCCAGTGGTGTCAGAGTAGAACTGTACTCCACAGGGTTTTCTTTTGTGAATTTGGAAAGGTGTATAGAGCAAATCAGTTCTCCATTCAACAATTCACATACATTTTGTTTCAAGTCATCGATTGCAATCCCCACAAGGAAACATCACTTATCCCACTTTCTCTCTTTTCTTTCCGTAGCTTCTACCTTCTGATCGTTGTCCTTGAGCAAATGTTGTCCTTTTGATCTCAAACGGTTGATTATTCTAAAGAGTGTGTGCCTTCCTAGTGTTTTTGTTCACTGTACAGACGTCTCTATTGTTTAGCTGAAACTAAGCCACAAGGGTAAGTTCAGGTCCCAATCTAAAGAATGACTAAAAGGTTTCATCAGTTTCTATCCAAGCTGTATGCCTGGTCTTTTTTCTTTTCTTTCTTTTTTCTGCACTTGTTTTCCTCCCGTTTCCCACTTACATGTACAATCCAGCCACACTACACTCCCCAGGTTGTTACAACCATCACCTTGCCTAGTCTTATTTATTTATTTTTTTCTTATGATTTTGAATTTTGTTCATATTTTCCTCCTCCCCTATCTAGGACCGTCTAATGTGATCCCCGTTAAAGCAATCAGTAGCAATAGCTGGGCACCATCTAGTTCTTCTGGTCTCTGGGTTGTGGAGACACAGGGTTTTCGATGACTAATTTTTTGGACATTAAGTTGCCAGGACTTTCTTTTGAGACACCTCTGTGTGAATTTAATTTAAACCACCAACCTTTCAGTTAGCAGCCCAGGACTTAATAGTGGGTACTAACAAGGGATGCCTAGAACCAGGTGCAATAACAGACCCTATTTGGTGTGGGTGCTCCAAGCTGTGGTTTGCAGTCCATTGCTTATCGCATGGAGCCACTGCACTCCTATTGAGCACAACACTCAATCCTGTATTGACAGACAGGTGGTGTCTGTGCTTAAGGTCTATTGGCCAAGAATCAAACCCAAGTCTCTGATTTGGAAGGCAAGAATTCTACTAAACCGTCACTGCTCCTATCCCCCCCCCAAATCCTTCACTATATGTAAGAAGGGATTACAAAAAGTATGTGGGAAAATCCCTTATCTTTTCATTCTATTTTCCCATGAACTTTCTTGAAGCCCCCTCATATATAGGTATACTCACCCACTGCTATTGAGTTGATTCTAATTCATAGTGAGCCTATAGGAACTGCTCCATAGGATTTCTGAGACTTTATAGGACCAGAGGAGTGGCTGCTGGGTTTGAACTGATGACCTTGTGGTTTGCAGCCCAACACCTAATGCACAGTATCACCAGGGTTCCTTGTATGGATACATAGTATATTTATTTATCTTCAAGCTTATTGTAACACTGCTTAGTCTTCACTGTCTAATATGGTAAACCACTAGCTACCTGCGGTTATTTGTATTGCAATGAATTAATATTCAACATAATAGCTCAGTTCCTCTATTTCATTAGTCACATTTGAAAGTACCCAAATAGCCATGCACTGCTATTGGCTACCACACTGGATAACACCCATAGACAATGTTCTATTGCCACAGCAAGTTCTATCTCCTTCACTCAGTCAGTGGATTCTATAAAGTGTAGACCACCTGTACATATGCTAATAAAACCCCCCAAATGACTTGCCGGTTGATTCTGACTCATGGCAACCCATGTGCATCAGACTAGAACTATGTTCCACAGGGTATTCAATGGTTGGTTTTTGTCAAGTTGATTGTCAGACCTTTCTTTCGAGGTACCTCTGGGTGGATTTGAACCATCATCCTTATGGTTGTGAATCAAATGCTTAACAATTTGTACCTAGGGACACCTGTATATACCAGTGGGCTTCAAAATGTTTGTGGGAAAATTACCTTATCTTTTAATTCTATTTTTCCACAAACTTTTTGATGCCCCCTTGTATAGGCCCATCCCCAAACCTTCTAGTTGATTCTGACTCACAGTGGTCTTATAGAACCGAGTAGGACTGCCCCTTCAGGGTTTCCAAATCTGTAAAGCTTTATGGAAACAACCTACCACATCGTTCTTTCTTGTATTTGAACCATCAACCTTTCCGTTAGTAGCCCAATTCTTAACCCACGATGCCACCAGGACTCCTTATGCTAATGTGGTTGTTGTTAAGTGCTATAGAGTTGGTTCTAACTCATAGCGACCCTGTATAGAGTTTCCAAGGAGCAGCTGGTGGGTTTGAACTGACAACTTGGTGGTTATCAGTTCAGAGCTACAGTGCCACACCAGGACTCCATTATGAAAATTTGTTGGTGCTAAGTGGGTCACTATGAGTTGGAACCGACTCCACGGTACTTAACAACAATAACAAGTGCCGTTGAGTCGGTTCCGACTCATAGTGACCCTGTATAAGGTTTCTGAGGAGTGACTCGTGGGTTTGAGCCACCAACCTTGCATTTCAAAATGACCCTCTGGTCCAAACTGACCCGGTGGTCCAGTGCATTATTCTACACCGCACCAGAACTCCCATTATGCTAATTTTCTGTTGTTATTAAGTGCCGCCGAGTTGGTTCCGACCCACAGCAACCCTGTATAGCATTTCTGAGAAGCTGCTGGTGAACTTGATCCACCGACCTTGTGGTTCAAACTGACTTTGCAGTCCAGCACATTAACCCACAGTGCTACAAATAGTCCCCCATAAAACCACTGAAACCCACCAGCACGTTTAGGTAATGCTCACGTACCCAGGAAACGTCCATCAGATTAAAATGCCTTCCCTTTATCTCAAAACCCACCAAGTTGACTCCAATAGCTATCCAAGCCCCTGAAATCACCACTGTGGACCCTAGAAATACACACTTGGTCCATACTTGGAGTATCCAATTCCCCAGTATAGAAGTTCCTGAGTGGCAGAAACAGTCCTGCTAACCCAAAGGCTGGAGGTTCAAGTCCACCCAATGGAGCCTCAGAAGAAAAGCCTGGCAACTTGATTTGGAAAAGCCACCACCATGAAAACGCTATGGAGCCCAGCTCGACTCTGAACAGATGGCATCTCCATAGGTTGGAATTAACTCAATGACTGGTCACAAGCAGTATAGGTGAGGTATACCTAAACTCTGATTCCAAGTCCACTTCCTTCATAATACCCAGAGCGCCCAGGAAACACTCACAGACCTGCCCTGTTCACCACACCTTAAGCATTGGCCAGTCATGTCTGGAACCCCTTCCACCACACACCTGTAGTACTCCTCCCTGCCAATCTAGTGTATTCTGACAATGTCCAGACCCCATTGGCATAGCTTAATAATACCCATGCTGCCTCAATACCGAAAACTCAAACCCAATACCATCAAATCGATCCCAACTCATAGCAATTTGACAGAGGGTTTCCCAGACTGTAAATCTCTACTTGAGCAGACAGCCTCACCTTTTTCCCAAGGAGCAGCTGGTGGGTTTGAACTGCTGTCCTTGAGGTTAGCAGTACCACCAGGGCTCCTAAAACACTCCACGAATAGGCAAGTGTGCTCCCCGGAGCACTCCAATTACCTGCCCCCACAGATTCAGCATAACAGCCCTCCATGAATACTCCAGTATCTTTCAGCAACACCCCCACACATCCCAGTATGTTCCAATAATAACTCCCCCTCACTCGGATCTCAGTGTATTCTCATAACTCGCCCCCTGAACATTTCCCAGCACACGCCAATAATACCTAATGTGCTCCCACTGTATCTCACAGCACCACCCCTACAAGCACCTCTGTACACGCCCAGGCCCCCCACGGCTCTCATTGTAAAATTCATCCTGCTGAAAACGGCAGCCCAGGCTCACACAGCTACATACACCCATCCAAAGTTTAAACCCGTTGTGTGGCGTCAGTTTGGACTCACAAAGTAGAACTGCCCCAGGGGAATTACCAAGGCTGCAAATCTTTACAGAAGCCAAGTGCAACAACTCCAGGAGAGACAGCGGGTGGGGGGCAGTGGGGAGGGGGGTGTTGAACTGCCCACTGCTCCATTTGCAGTCAAACGCTAAACCACTGCGCCACCAGAGATCCTTAACCAAATCAAAACCTTTCCGTGAGTAGCCAAACACTACCATCAAAAGTTGATTCCGAGGCTGTACATGTTTATGGGACCAGAAAACCTCATCTTTTTCCCAAGGAGCAATTGTTGTTGTTGTTGTTATGTGCCGTGGAGTTGGTTCTGACTCATAGCGACCCTGGAAATCTTTATGGGAGCAGAAAACCTCATCTATCTCCCGTGGAACAGCTGGTAGTTTCGAGCGGCTGACCGTGAGATTAGCAGCCGGATTCGTAACCACTAGGCTACTGGAGCAACTGTTGTTGTTGTTAAGTGCCGTCGAGTCGGTTCCGACCCATAACGACCCTGTATAGGGTTTCCGAGCAGTGAATGGTGAGCTTGAACCGCTGACTTTGCAGTTCAAATGGCTTTTCAGTCTGCCACACCAGGACTCCACCAGAGCAACTAGTGGGTTTGAATTGTCTACTTAGTGGTTAGCAGTCCCGTGCCTATCCTATAGCTTCGACCA